GACAAGCCCAGTGGCATACACATAGGTGCGTGAAGCGTACTAAATGACTGTCTAAATTATTATTCTTCAAGACAGATGTGACGGCACACACCTGTAATCCCAGCACTCGGGAAAGCTGAGGCAGGGGGACCAAGAGTTTGAAAACAGCCTGAGCTACACAGAGAGACCCTGTCTCAAAAAGAAAAAGAGAGAGAGAGAGAGAGAGAGAGAGAGAGAGAGAGAGAGAGAGAGAGACTGAGTACTTGGCACTTGGCTTTCGTACCTCTCGCCCTTCCCTTGGCGTACAGGCAGAAGGTCATGCAACGCTTAGGCAGAGCAGCCACTCAGGAGCACAGGCCATCCTCCACGCCAGCACATCGCTGCCTCTGCTCTCCCCACTACGTGAGAACAAGCGAGGCCTTCCACACCCAAGCTGCCTCGGCCGGGCTCTGCCATGTGGCCAGCCACATCCTACCCCACGATATTTGCCTGCACATAGTGTACAGCTTGGGCTTCTAAAAAGAAAACAATACAATGACAAGAGAGAAGCTAACCTGAAAGCAGAAGAGAACTCACTATTAAGACTAGGAAAGGGCCCTGGGAGGGAAGATGGGTACACAGGCTTGGTGGACATGTGTGCATGTACGGGACATGGCCAGTGACAGCCACAGCAAACATGTGCGCATGCCGGTACCCTCTGCACTCGGGGCCTGAGGCAGGAGAACAGCAAGTTCCACAACGGTCCAGGGCTGTCTCAAAACTCAAACAAATAGACAAAAAGGAAAGACAGACAGACAGAACAACAAAGTATCTGTCAACTGATAAAAAGTAAACAAAATCCAGCGCGTCCATACAATGGAATATTACTCAGGGTTAGAAGGAATGAAATAATGAAACATGCTGGAGCACAGATGGATCCTGAAGGCATGGAAGTGGGAGAACCCAGACACGCAAGGCCCAACTGGGAGGCTCTACACACATGGGCGTGTGTTTAGAGGCAGTAGAGGCACGGTTGCCAGAGTTGGAGGGGAGAGGGGGGATAAGGAGTGCCTACTTGGGTATGGTGCTGCTTCTTTATCCCCAGGGCCTTTGCACTGAACTTCAGTCCCACCCCTTTTTAAAATTTTGAGTAGGGTCTCGGGATAGGAGTCAATGAAAAAGCAGGAGATAGCACAAGAGACATAAAGAACCTGCTCACAGAGGTCATGGCAGAAACCTTCTCGAACAGGGAAAAAGAATTTGATATACAAGCAAGTGAGGCATACAGAGCTCCAATTAGCTATGTCAAAAAAAATCTGGGGACTGGGGAGATAGGTCAGGGGCATAAGCACCTGCCTGGCAAACACAAGATCATGAGTTTGATCCCCAGTACTGCCAAAAAGAAAAAAAAGAAAGAAAAAAAAATCTGCACCAAGGTACATAATAGTCAAGATTCTAGAAATTCAACACAACAATATTAAAAGCTGTCAGAGCAGAGCTCATCAGAACCACAGCGGATTTCTCAGCACAAACCTGCAAGTAAAGGAGGGCGTGGAGTGAAAGACTTCAAGTCCTAAAGGAAAACCTCCAACCCTTGTACCCTGCAAAGCTGTCTTTCAAAAACTGGACAGCCAGGGGGATAGCTCAGCAGCATAAGCGCCTGCCTGGCAAGCACAAGATCCTGAGTAGGAAAAAAAAAATCATGGAGAAATACAATACTCTAATGACAACACCTCAAGAAAATCATGACACCAAACCAGCACTCCAAAATGTTCTGAAGGATTTTCCAGAAAGAGATAACAAGGACTACAACTCCATGAAACCCAACAGAAAGCATCCACTAGGCAAGCAATGAAACAGGGAAACAGGAAAAGAACATGACTTGGGGTGTGAATTCTTTTTTTGTTTGTTTGTTTGGTTGGTTTTTGTTTTTGGCAGAACCGGGGATTGAACTCAGGCCCTTGTGCTTGCCGGGGAAGCACTTATTCCACTGAGCCATCTCCCCGGCCCTTAAAAGAACATGACTTGGATAAGTTAATACATATCAGTTATAATTACCAATGTTAATGGTCCAAATCAACCAATCAAACAGACTAGTACATACTGATCAAGAAGCAAGCACAGGGGCCAAGGAGATAGCTCAGTAGAATATATGCTTGCCTGGCAAGTGCAAGGGCCGGAGTTCAATCCCTGGTTGGGGGCGGGGGAAGCAAGCACAAGGCCAGCCAAATAGCTTAGTGGATTAAAGCAGACGAAGGGGCCAGGGGTTCGATCCCTGGGCCTGCTGTGCTGCAATAGAGACTGGGCGTGGTGGCACGCACCTATAATCCCAGCTCTTGGGAGGCTGTAAACAGGAGAATCACTATCAGTCCAGTCTAGTAGCGAGACCCCAACACCCTGTAGACCATTTCCTAAAATAAAATAAAAAAATTAAAAAAAAAGCAAGCACAAAGCCTATGCTGCATACAAGAGACACACTTAATTCAAAAAGAAATTCACAGACTTAAAATCAAAGAATGGAAAACAATACAAACAATACTCCATGTGACAGAAATCTGGAAAAAGTAGGGGTAGCTGTTTTATCCATGGACAATGTAGATTTCTAGCCAAGGCTGATCGAGACAGACAAAAAGGTAACAATACCCTTGTTGCCAGTCCTGGTGGCCCATGCTTGTGATCCCAGCACTCGGGAGACAGAGGCAGGAAGATCAGTGTGAGTTCAAGACCAGCCTGAGCTACAAACTGAGCTTAAGGCAACATGAACTGCACAGCAAGACCCTGTCTCAAAAAGACAAAGAAAAAAAAAAAGACCAAAACACAATAGCCTTGTAAAGAGAACAGTCCGAGAGTAAGAGATAGCAATAAGAAATGTATATGCACCAAATACCACTGTATCTAACTGTATATCAAATATTAATGGACACAAAAATTCAAATAAGCACTAATGGGGCTTATGGGTTAGCTCAGTTGCTGGGCAAACCCAGTAAGGCACAGGCGACCACAATTTGATCCCCAGCTTCCCATGCCTTACCAGACCCGCCCTTAAGACATCCTGAAGTAGCCAAAAACAAAAAACAAACAAAAAAACAAATAAGCACTAATACAATTGTAATGGGGGACCTGAATGCCTACTGTCACAAATAGACATTTAAACTAAGAAGAAGGAGTAGTAAGTAGTACAGGGTCTACCACACAGCTCAAACTAATGATCCTCCTGTTTTCAGCCTCCCCATAGCTGGAATTACAGGTGTGCGCCACCACGCCTGGTCTCTGTGGCCAGCTCACTGCACCCGGGGGTGGGGCCAGCGTGGCATGTGGTGCTGGGAATCAAACCCCGGTCCCTGCACTTGCCTAAGCAGATACTTAGTCTGCCAAGCTATCTTGCTGGCCCTTCAACCAAACTTCTGAACAAACAGACTTAATAGACATCTACAGAGGGTTGCACCCCACATCACAAGGTGGTTGCAGCGTGGCTGCAAAAGGGTTGTTCTCCAAAATAGTCCACATACTGGCTTATAGAACCTGCTTAAATAAATGGAAAGAAACTGAAATTGGACTGAGGATATAGCTTAATGGCACAGTGCCTGCCTAGCAAGTGCAAAGTCCTGAGTTCAATTCCGGAAAGAAAGGAAAGAAGAAAGGAAAGGGAAAAGAAAGGGAAAGGAAAGAGAAAGGAAAGGAAAGGGAAAGGGAAAGGAAAGGGAAAAAAGAAAAAAAAAGGAGAAATTATACCACCCATATCATCAGACCATAGTGCAATGAAATTGGAAACCAACAGGAAAATAAATCATAAGAACTTCATAAACAAATGAAAAGTAAGAAACACCCTCCTAACCAACCAATGGCTCACAGATAAAATTAGACAGTTTCTACAATTAAACAATAATGCCAATTCAACATACCAGAACTTATGGGACACACTGAAAGAAGTCCTATGAAGAAAATTTGTAATGGTGAATTTCCACATCAAAAAAACACAGCAAAAAAAAAAAAAAAATACAGTAAGTTCAAATAAACAATCTAAAGGCAAACT